AGGAACATGGTTTAAATTTCATGTTCCATTTTGTTGTCATGCTAGATACTAAAAGATACACAGAGAGGAATTTGGATACTTTATTTAGTGTATGAGAAAACGAAATCTCACTGAAAAATTATGTTTAAATTCAAATTTCGCCTTAATTTTGGGAATTAAAAACATCAAAATCTTGTTAAGTAGAAGACTGTTAGGTTTGATGTGTGTAGGTGCTTCTTTAATGGGTAAACTTTTGTTCTTTTGGAGGAAATGCATTTTGAGAAAACAGCCTTTGAAGTTATAATGGCCCATTTAACTCTGGCTGCAAGTTGATTGGATTAAATATTAAAACATCTTTCAGTTCAGAGTGGACCAAATTGTTGTTGCCACATTAAAACTTTTATTTTCTAAGAGACCAAACTGACCAAAATGACACAAAACATTTCAGGAAGTTTTTTTGTAAAATGTATTGATTTTAAATGTCATCAAATATGTCTGAACTTCTACTTTGAACATTTAGAACAGTAATTTGAACTGTGATATCTTATAGAATCTAACCCAAACTTATTATTTGGATCGCAAACTTTTAACAAATAGCAAGTCCACTCTAGACTGATGTTTTGGTGGTCTTGAAAGCCTTTAGTTTCATAGTTTTGTGCTGCCCTCTAGTGGTTAAATTAGGTCAATGTCAAATGTTGAAGTCAGGCGTTTCTCAAATGAGTCACGTCTTTGCAGCTGATACTTCACATTATCGAGAGCTCACCTCTGGATTCATTTACAAAATAGTTTGCTCATGTTGGTGATTCATGTACATTTCGTAATGCATAGTTACTGTAAATAGAGTTGTGTTTGTTTTTATTCTTGTGGGAACAGTTTCCGTTAGATCATCAACTGGTTTTATGCAAGCAGCCTTTTTACATTTGCTTTTATTCCGAAATTCAATATTGCATTAGTACTTTATAGTTTTCTAATGCTATTACAGGAAAAGAAAGGTTTGAATGCATTTTTCACTGTTCCTTTTTATCTATAGCGAAGTTGATTCATGTCATGTGAATTTCAACTTCGCAAAACCACAAGTCGTCATTGATCTATTTTAATCTTTCATTCAGTTTTTAGATTTCTGTTTTTTTGACTCATGTCTTACCACAGTCTCAGTCTTATTGTGTGATGAAATTGTTTATTGTCTCATAGTTTATCTTTAAATGTAGTGGATGATGTTTTGACTATGTAATGGTGCGTAGTGTAACTTTTTGGTGTTTCCTCGTTTTTTGTTTCCATGGATTTGTTATTGCTCTGACTGGAATGTTCCACAGTATGACAATAAACAGCTCTATCTTACATTTATAAATTGGTTTTAAAGCTCAAAAATACCTAGAAAAACAGGCATTTTGACTGTGAGCAGGGTCGCCTCTCCACAAATCTGACTTGTAACGTGGTCTGGTTTGGTCTGCATGAAGATAGAAAGGTTTAATACCATAAAACTGTGAAACATTCCTGACAAAGCAACAACACCTCCACAAAGAAAAACATTTGACGGGCCCTCCACCCAAAAACTTACACAATGAACTTGTAATAAATGCTGGAAATTTATTTTTTGAGGTTGTCTTTGGAAAACTAAGCTGGTGTCCCTGGGAGATACTTGAGAGTTACGTCAAGTGATCACACAGAACATCATTGAGTCATTTCTATTGTACTTTATTTCTTAATCTCTGATGAAAATGGTTCCTGTTTATTTTCAGTAGGATTTAGCCATTTGTAGAGAAAGTTATTTCTTAATATTTACTAGGGATGTAACAATAACAGAAATAATGTGACATCGTATTGTCAAACTTCTCACAATAATATCATGGACCATCACAATATATCGAATTGCAGGTCTGTTTGCTTAAATTAAGAGTTATGGTGCAGCAATAGCTAAAAAAAACAAAGGGAACTACATAGACCATGATCCTTTGCTCCATTTCAGTGCAGACCACATGTAGAAATAACAGGTCTAAGCACTTTTAAGTCATAGTTCTTTGGATTAAGTCTTGTCAAGGTTTTTTAAGAGGAAATAGAAGCATATAAACAGTTTTGTTAACCTCCACAAAATATCGCAATAAATATCGTACCGTGAGATGTATATCGTGAAAATATCGTTCCGAGAGATTTGGATATTGTTACATCCCTAATCGTGAGTTTTCCCACGATATCGCGATAAATATCGTATCATGAGGTTCATATCGTCATAATATCGTATAGTGAGACTTGGATATCGTTACACCCCTAATATTTACTTGTTATGAATTAAGTTGTGTTATTGTAATTTGTAAAGGTATTCAATGGATTTCATGTGACGTAATATTTTTAAATAAATCAGGTGAAATAAGAGAGACAATCACATTGACAATTAGAGATGATCACACTATTATTGAACTCTCATATTGTCTCAAGGATCAGATCTCCATTCAGCTTAACACATTTCTCCCTATTTCCACTTTTGAATGAGCAGCGTGTAACTTCCTGTGTGTTACGTTTGTTCTGCCCTGGTTCCTCCATCCTCTGCAGAAACACAAAACAGCTTTGTAGGTTAACTCTCTCCTACCTCTGGAGGAGTAAGTAAGAGATTTATTTTTTTTTTTTTTTTTTAACAATTTACAAACTTTAAATAGTTCATACATTTAATTTTATGAACATCTGATGAAAGGGAACTCTGATAGAAGGGACCCCAGACACCAAAAATACACACGATTTCATATTATCCCATACCTAACATGTCCCTACAGTTTCTTTGATCAATAATAGTCCTAACTCTCCATGCCAGTCGACCAAACACGTGTGTGCAGGAGAACTGGTGACTGTTTAAGTGATCAGTATTGGCAGCCCCTAATCATTATTTAGTCATCATTTAATACAATTTTCATTTTTTGTGTAAGCTCAATATTCTTTTTAAAATTAAAATATTTAGATTTAATGATGATCTTTTTTTTTATTTTTAACACCAATTTGTTTCGGAGTCTGGTCAGTCCAAATAATGATAATCAGTTATTAAGTTCATTGATGATTATTTGATGTGACAGTGCTGTTGCCGGGGAAACTTGACAGGAGCAGTAGTCAACTTTAGTTTAGAACCTTTTTCTTCAGGTGAGCCTTTATGAAACCAAAATGCCAAAGAGCGACTCATTTTATTGGTTGCAAGAAATTGAAAAGTAGAAGAGCTATGGCAAGATTTCGGCAGGGTACAGCTCGATGCATATTAAACATAAACCATTATCCATTTAGTAGTGTACAAGTTATCTTCAACATTATACGTTTACAATGGAAATAAATCCAGTGTTAGTTATTAAGCGCAATACATATAATTCAGAACTCCTTTGGCGAGCTACTTGGGAGGGGGTGGAGAGCAACTGATAGCTCCTGAGGTACAGGTTGGAGACTCCTGGTGCAGAGCCTTGGTACTTTAAGCAGACCCATTATGCAAAATCTACTTTTTAGAGCTTTTAACCTTTACAGTTGTTTCCCCTCACCGTCCAAACACCAACACATTTGGAGTTTGAGTAATCTTTAATCACTTATTTTCAAGATGCCATATTGCTGATCAGCAGCTTCACGTCATTTTTGTACAAAAGTGTTTTGTGTTGCATTTTTGTATGAAAAGCACTCTATAAATAAGTTTATTGTTTGTTCTTCTACCAATAGAAAAAAAAATAAATAATAATAATCCAAGGTTTGCAAACATGATCTGCAGTTGTCTAGATCAGGTCCCAACAGCTACAAAGCTTTTTTGCTGTGATGACGTTTACGGCAAAGTCTGTGCACATTGGACACTGCAGTTTTACTTGTTTCTTTTATTAAGTTGTTGTAGATGTAGATTAATATTGTGAATTAAATTATCCATATTGTAACATAATGTTTTTTGCTATGATCTTGGTCCAGAGTAACTGGCTGGCGTAGCCTACTGTATTTCACTGAGCACCCAAAGGAACCTATTTGGCATATTTATAATGAATTAATTTTAGTAAAATAGCAACTGCTAAAAAGTTAACATGACTTAAATTAAGAAGGTTTTACTTTATTTTAGTTGATTCAACTTGAAAAGTAAAATTATCTACCAATAGGGTAAGTGCATTTTTCTTAATTCAAGCAACATTAGATTTTTCTTATTTTAAATGCAAAAAGTTGTCGTTTTTCTTATTTTATGTGTAGTAAGATGTATTTTCAGATTTTAAGAACAAAAAGTCTTGTTCCGCAGGCAGATACTTTTACTCCTCAAGTGAAATTTACTCAAATCATGATGAAACTTTCTTAATTCAAGTCATCTTAACTTGGCTAAATTTAGTTTTTTGCAATGCACTTTTAATTGTTTGCTTTGGAAAGGGCAGAGATCATTCCTTTATCAATATTATTGTACATGTAACTTTTCTGCCACTTGCTTGTCTCCATGGAAATGATATAGCTTTGCCTGGAATGTTCCTCAGTATGGCTTAATATCTCTCAATGTTTAGATTTGAGGAGATCCACAATAAGAATATTTTTCAAGTTCTTGTAATAATCGGGTTAGAAAAAGGTGAGCATGCTGTGGAACATTTTAGGCAATGCAATGTCATTTCCATGGATACATAAGTGACAGACCATCCACTAAAAAAGTTCCATAGTTCATCTTAAATTGTGGTCTATAAAGCAACTTACAGTAACATAATATAAACCTTCATTGCTGCGTATTAGAGTCTGAAGGTCGTATTTTATCTGTCCATGGCACACGCTCGCCTCTAGACTTGATGCTCTCACAGGAAGCTCATTTACTAAAATTACTGTATTGAGTTTATAAGTGAAACTCTCACACCTTAGTAAGGAAGTGAGAAAACGGAAGTACCATACAACAGGTAGTCATATGATATTTAAACAAAGAAATATGTGAAACTTTTGACCATGCTAATAGTGCTTAATCAAGTATAAGATTAAAAGTGTTTTTGTAGTTGTTGATTGACTTATAGTGCAAGGGTTGATCTGATAATACGACAGAGCGGTGCAGAGACGTTTAGTTGGTTGGTCTCACTTCTTCAACTGTTTCAGGAAGTGGAGCAGTGTCACTGAAATCAGGAAACTAACAGTAGCTATTTATACACAAGACAAAGCGCTGAGCTGCTGATCGCCAGTGCAGTTTCAGTAGAAGAAGAGGTCAGGAGAGTGGGACAGTCCGCAGGAGAGATACAGGACACACAATGATGCACAGCAGGTGATTCTGGACACTGGTGAAACTTGTCAACCATGGATGAAGACTGCCCAGGTAACGATTCAAATTTTCAATGCAAAATTCTGAACGTGAGCTCCAGGTTGTTATACTTTTATAGCAGTTTATATAGCGTTCAGTATCAGTGTTGTATCAGCAATGTAATGAAGTAGAAAAGCACTGTACTTAAGTAAACATTTTAGGTATTTGTACTTTACTTGAGCAGCTTTTAAAATGCACATTTCACTTTTGTCTCGTTACATTTGAGAGACGATATTTGTACTTTTGCCACTACATTTTTTAACTGTACTGAAAAGTAAAAGTATTTTTTATTATTGCGTGAGATCTGCTGAAAAGTCTGAGGGTTTATTTTTTAACACATTCATAGTTTGAGCAAACACAAATAAAAACAGCTAGAAAAAAAATTTAAAATGAACAAAATTCAATACAAATCTTTATTAAAATCACTATGTTTGAAGCTTTATAAAACCTCAAAAATATGCACAAAATACTTTTACGTTTTAGTCTTTAAGTACATTTTGAAATAGGTACTTTAAAATTTTTACTTAAGCAGATTTTGACATGAAAATTCATTCAAATGTTGTATAACTTGTTTTCCACTGCAAACACTGAACTGCAAGTGGCCCAAAAGAGGTTGTGGGTTCAATCTTGAGGCTAGTTGAAATTGCTTAAATACATGCATTAGGAAACTGGCAAGTGCACGGTTGGATGTGAGAACAACTGTACTGAAATTTAATATGTAACTTTATCTGAGAGCGATGTCAAAAGTGGATTTCATTGTGCTCACTATTGTGTCTAGTCTGTTGGCATCTTGGTCTAATCATTAATAGCCGTGAAGTCATTTAACATGCAGGATTTTAGTGGGAACTGTGACAAAGGTTCATTCTGTCTGACGCTTCTGGGTTCAAATACTGAAGTTTTAGTTCATTGTTCAGCTTGGTTTTGTATTTTGTTAGAATTGGACACTTTGCAGAGATGGAATAAATCTAGAAATAATATGTTCACTCAGGGTTAAAGCGCCAATATTATGCTATTTTCTGATCTATGTTATAATGTTCCCTCATCAAAAACATACCCAAAGTTGTTTTTTTGTTTCATTCTCACATGTTTAACACATAAATCCTGCATTTTAGGCTCTTCTCTCGAACAGAAAACACCATTGCGATGTCACGTGGTAATACAGGAAGAGCTCCACTGTGTTTTTAAACTCCAAACACCTTCACTAGACTCATTTGGATGATTTCAGATCTAGAATGGCCAATCTCTACTGAACAAATATAAAAGGTAGCTGACCACTACAGGAGTTTTGCATGCGACAGACTAATAAATGATTCCTTAAACACGTGTGAATGAAACAAAACACAACCCTGGTTACGTTTTTGAGGAAGCAACAACATTATAACATGGCTTGAAGCTCACAAGAGTTAATTTTGTGTAATATAGGACCTTGAAGTGCAAGTTGAAGAGTTTATTTTACTTAACTTTTACTTAACTTCTTTTAATAATTGTCTAGTTTTTTATACAGTGGTTATAATGGTGGGTAGAGAAGTTAGCAGAGATAAGCAATTTCTAAGTGAACTTTACATTATATAACCTGATTACTTTGTCCATGTGATAATTGCATTGTTCTGTTTTGTAATTTCAGTCCAATGTCCACAAATCTTGGAGCGGAAAGACGTTTTAGGGTTGGCCTGCTTTGTCATACATTTTGCTCATACGTTGTCTCGATTAAGCAATTTCGAACTATTGTGTGCTTTTCAGAACTTATGTCACTTTGTTTCAACAAGTCAGCAAATGTCTGTGTTGCAGAAATGGAGTTACTCAGCACTCAGAATCATGCAGTTGATCAAAAAAGGAAGTAAACGCAAATTTCTTCCTGCATGACCACACATATATAAGTCATCGCACCTTATTTCCATAGAATGACTCTTGATACGTTGAGAAGCTTGTAGGACGTGAGCTTAATTTTGTTGAATGAATACACCGTCTCACAAAAAAAAAGTAAATTAGAAGTGTCATCTTAAAAAAAGAAAGTGTTAGTCATTATATTTTAGTCTAGATATGACTTGGGTTGATGTAGTTTGTCTGCGGTTAAGGTTATGTTGTTACGAGGAAAGAAGTTACTGTTTTTTTGAGAGATTATAATTACACAAAATAAAGTATTACAACAAAAATTTTATATTTAAAGATGCGTTGTGTAACTTTTCTGGTGGAGGGTGAAAGTGTCTTTGTTATGATCCTTCCCAAATTTTCACTAGTAATGTTTTTCTTGAATGAACTAATCAAACTTTATTTATAGAGCGCTTTTCATACAAAAAAATGCAACACGAAGAGCTGAATTTTGCTTTTAACCTGATGATTTTGTGGCATTTTGTTGTTTTTTTATAGAGAGACTTTGACCGAGAGAAAAGCAGAGAGGTCACAGGTCCTGATGCATTCAGGAGCAAAAACAAAATGGGAAAATAAAATCATGGGCGCACAACCGGGTGACCAGATTTTCGAAATTCTAAACTGGGACACACCTTGGTTGGTGGTTGGTGGAAATAAAATTGTGAAAAGAGCGTGTAAGATTGTCAGTCATAATCTGAGGGATTTCTGTCGCTGCAATTTTTTATTTTGTTTTGCTTTATGGTCATTCGCAAACATGGTTTTCTGTATTTTGTCAAAACAAATGACAATTGATGCTTCTCTTTACAGTTGGCAGGGATTAGATTAGTCAAAAACTGTGGTAGTTCTGTTTTAGTCCTGGTTTAGTCTTAGTTTATTGCTGGTTTAGACCTGATGTAGTCCTGGTTTAGTACTGGTTTAATCCTGGTTTAGACCTGATGTAGTCCTGGTTTAGTCTTAGTTTAGTACTGGTTTAATCCTGGTTTAGACCTGATGTAGTCCTGGTTTAGTCTTAGTTTAGTCCTGGTTTAGACCTGATGTAGTCCTGGTTTAGTTTTAGTTTAGTCCTGGTTTAGAGTCGATGTAGTCCTGGTTTAATCTTAGTTTAATCCCGGTTTAGACCTACTCCTGGTTTAGTCTCAGTTTCGTCCTGGTTTAGAGTTAATGTAGTCCTGGTTTAGACTTAGTTTAGTCCTGATTTAGACCTGATGTAGTCCTGGTTCAATCTTAGTTTAGTTCTGGTTTAGACCTGATGTGGTCCTAGTTTAATCTTAGTGTGGTCATGATTTAGACCTGGTTTAGATCTGATATAGTCCTGGTTTAGTCTTAGTTTCATCCTGGTTTAGACCTGATGTAGTCCCGGTTTAATCTTAGTTTAGTCTTTGTTTAGACCTGGTTTAATCTTAGTTTAGTCCTTGTTTAGACCTGGTTTAAATCAAATTGGTCAAAAATAGGGAAATTTTTTTAATAAAACTGGGACAAATCACTGGTTTTGGATAAATCTGCTGGGACAGGGGACACTGGGCTCAAAACTGGGACTGTCCCGGGTAAATAGGAACGTCTGGTCACCCTAGAATAGTACAAGAGGTTGCATTAACACGTAAAAATGACATCGCTGTATGGTTTAGCTGTTAGTATTCTACCTTTTAGCGTACCTGTTGCATGTGTCTTGTGGAGGTGACCTGATTAAATGCTGTAATGAGCCTAAACGCTGTAACCAGTGTTGACTTAGCCTCATGTTAGCTCATGTTTGCTCAGCTCCAGTTTGGCTGAAACACTGGGGACATTCATTGATTTCATGCCCACATTCACCTTGAGTTTGTGGGCTTGGACACTGGACAGCTGCGCCTCTGTGGAGCTTTTCCATCTCAAACAGCTCATCTCTGCAGCTCATAGTGTGTGCAGTGTGGAGGGAGAACACTCATTTGGGAGGTGATTATGGCGTTTAATTTTACATGTTAGTCCAGAGGTCCCAGGGCTGTGGTCGGGTTTAGGTTTGGCATTAGACTTTAGATTATGTGGAGGTGCTGTCATTTGTGGGTTTTGAGCTGAACAAATTACTTCATTTAGCTCAATTTTAGTAATAGTTTTCAGTCTTTAGTTTGTAGATGTGTTTGTTTATTTAGTTTGGTTTATGCATATGTAGGTTTGTCAAGAAAATGTATAGGCAGACAGTTGATACTTGGACCAGTATCGAAAATAGAGTCTCATTTGAGCAGGTGATACTGGGGGAAAGATCACTTAAATATAAGAGTTGGACAGTTCAGTTCATTCATTTTGATCTCGATCTATAGGCATATCTGAACTGTAAGGCCACATGATTGTAGTAATGAAACAACTATGATGAGTATTGGTCTAAACACCAACAAATCGACCACCTGATCTACTGTAAATAAGTAAATATCAACCTTTTAACCATGTTAGAATATAGTCTCCTCATTAGAAACATACCCGGTGTTGAATTTAGTTTAATCTTCTTCAGTAATCTTCTGTAGAAAATCCTTTGCCTCTGAGCCTCACCAAACACCAAATTCTGCTTAACATCTTCTATGATTGTGATAGATAGAAGCCCTGCATAGTTTTTAAGTCTATAAATCATTGCCAGACTTGTTCAGCTGACAAATCAAGTTCATTACTATGGGCTGGTTACACTGTCCGAACACAGTTTCATTGCTTTCACTGTGATAATTACCTCTGCTGCCAGTAGAAGGCAAGTTTCAAGTATAAGTACGACAAGTGTATTGAACACGGTGATTGTAAAATTATATCTGAAAAATAATAATAATAAAGATACTCAATGTTTAAAAGCCAATAACAATACAAAGAATGTATACTATTTGTTCTTTAAGTCTTTATTTTCCTTTTGATTTTGTGCTAGGTTTTGTCATGCTCTGTTGACTTGTTTTTGATAATCCAATTCTAATTCTATGTCTTTTAAATGTTTTTATTTTCCAGCTGTCGCTGATTCTCTCATCTCATATGAACTGTTGATTCTCTACACATCCGAGGCTGAAGAATGGGCCGCATATCTACAACAGATCCTCAAATCCTCCAAAAAATTTCCCAAAAGGTCCATTTTACTGTACTCTCTGAGCTCTGCAGACCAACTCCATGGATACAACTTTGACTGTTTTCAAAACTGCAAATGCATTGTGGTGCTTTTCACTGCTGCCTTTCTGGACAATCTGACAGTACCTGACCTGAAGGGGTCACTCCAGAGGCTACTGTGCCCTCCTCACAGAGTGGTGGCGCTGTTGTGTGGAGTGGAGGATGATCATGTTTTAACAGAGAGTTTCACAGACTGGCCGTACTGGAGGAAAGTGTACACAGAGGATGAACCGGCCGTGTATGTGTCCACTATCTTGGAATCTGTTTCAGAGAGTGAGTTACTTTACATGGACACAGCAGCTCAAACATGTAAAGAAAAAAACAAAACACAGTCTTAAAGGTGCACTGTGTAGATGTTCTAGTGCTGGGTCTGTGATCTGTTGCTTTGCCTGGAATACCCAGTATATAAACTTAACTTTCTTGCATTTTATCAATTGCATGTGTTTTTAGAGCAAATGAAAACAGTGAAAAACATGAATTCTTAGTCTTACCTCTCCACAGATCTGACATGTAACTTGGTCTGCTGGTGCCACCTACTTTACTTTTTTCCAAAGAGATAGATCAGTTTTATGATTTCCAATAGACCTCCACCTTTGGAGACAAGCAAAGAAGTTACATAGTGCACCTTTAAATACAAATAGAAAAGTAATAATAAATAAGATTTCTTTTTTTGTTGTCAATCTTCACAATATTGCTAATTATCTTGTCCCAAGTCAATTCAAAGTCATAAATGTTATTAAAAAGGTGGAATTCCCATTGGCCTAGTTGGCTATAATTTGTTAGTGGTACTTTTTTTTCAACAACAAAGCAAGTTCCACTATAGCCTGAGATGCATAAGATTTTTGCTGTATTAACACTTTGCAAAATGTAACACTGGTGGGAAGTGGAACATTAAAACTGAAACTACAATGTGAAATAAACCACACAGGAACCGAGTTTACCTGTGGTGTTATTTTTAGGCAAGATGCGACAGATTAAAGACAAGACAGTGGACCACGTCACAGAACCTTCGCCGACACAACAGCCCACCAGAACGGAGGAAGAGGTTTCAGATGAAGTGGAAGAGAAGGAGAAGAAGGTAGAAGAGGAGGGACGAGGAGAGGAGATGGCAGACGAGGTGGCAGACGAGAGGCAGTCGGTCACAGAGGAAACTGGAGCTGCAGATCTGAGCTGTCTCACAGTCCAGCCCAACAGAGTCCGCTGTGGGGTATGAGTCTATACTTTTTATACTTCCATCATAAAAATATCCAAAATGAAAATCCATAATCTTTCTCTTATTATGAGGTCCATTAAAGAAGACCTATTGTGCTTGTGTCTGCTATAGAGTTATCATCTATGACGCCTGTCGCTTGTTATATGATAATGTGGACTTTTAAAATCTCAAAAAATTTTGTTTATTTGACTTAATTAAAGAAATAAGTCCACTGATTTCCATGTTAGAAAACTGTCATACCCAGTGGGAGTTGACACCATCGTAAACATCATCATAAAGAGCCGTGATGTTGTCAGCACCTCCGATGGATAGCTGCACATCACACTAGGGAGCAACGTTTTTTGTTGGGTTTTTTTTTTCATTAGCACCAAAATGACTTCACAACACTGCCGAATCATACATGCATCACAGATTAAGAAAATAAAATTGACCAGCCAAATGCTGTCTTGAAAACAAACAATTAAAGATTCTCAAACATGCACAAGTTCTTTAAAATGACTACAAAAGCACAAAAAGATCAACATACTGTACTAACCAGTGTTCTTTTAAGTCAACCACAAGTGCAAGTGTGAATTGTGTGTTTTATTTTTTGTTTTTTTTTATGCATGTGTGTGTGTGCAATGAATATGGACAGGCCATGCGTGCCAGTGGTGCAGTGGTTTAGGGTGTTGCATATAATATGTTGCTGTTACCATGAGTGTGCTTCCTGGCTTTGACCATCTGCTGCATGTCTCTACACTGTCGCTCTCCATGTCCCACTGTCATAGATAGACAGACAGATAGACAGATACATAGACAGATACTTTATTTATCCTGAATGAAATTCATTAGTCCTGCAAAAAAATAAAAAATAAAAGGGACAATGTACAGGCTTTTATTTATTTATGGGTAGGGGTGTAACAATATCCAAATCTCTCAACAGTGTACGATATTTTCATGATATACATCTTACAGTACGATATTTATTGCGATATTTTGTGGAGGCTAAATGGCTAAAACTGTTAATATGCTACTTTTTCCTCTTAAAATGCCTTGACAAGACTTAATCCAAAGAACTAAGACTTAAAAGTACTTAGAACTGTTATTTCTTCATGTAGTCTATGCAGAAATGGAGCAAAGGATCATGGTCTATGTAGTTCCCTCTGTCCTTTTTTTAGTTATTGCTGCACCATAACTCTTAATTTAAGCAAAGAGACTTGTAATTCAATATATTGTGATGGTCCACGATATTACTGTGAGAACTCTGACAATACGATATCACAATACTTCGGTTATTGTTACATCCTTATTTATGGGATAACATTTTTTGAGTTCAATCTGTGGATTTCCCATTCAGATGTTTCTACCTGCCCTATAATTGGAAACTCTCCAGACACTATAGGCATTTTTGCTCTCATTTTCATTCTAAAAGCAATCAAATGCCTTTCACATATGTGTTTTCTTTAATGTATATTTGTCAACATTAGCAGTATTTGCCCATAAGTACTTTGCTATGCCTCCAAATTCATTTTCTCGCTAGTCTGGGCTCATATTTTCGAATTATGTCAACACAAACTACTGAGGTATCATATTTCTACTAAAGTACTCATTTTTATCTTTGTAGGACCGGGACACTATTTTCATACTTTTTAAACATAAAATAGACGATTATTCAGAGCTGGCGATTGAATTTACATCAGAAAGTGGAGAGTCAACAAGGATTCAACCAACCATAGAGAACAGCTTTACTCTGAGTGTCACTGCACCTGGTAAGTCCCTACAGGAAGTAACATGTTTTCACCTTTTTAATATAATTTAAATATGTACCCACAAACCACACACTTGAAATCTGGAACACAGTAAATGCGATTTCAGACCCACTCGTCTTTGTCAAACTATTGTTGTCAATGTGATTTTAGACATCTATGTACAAATATTGTCCCATTTTTCACTCATAGATTCCCTTCTACCATTTCCCTCGCCAGCATCCTTTCACACACTTTAAATAACATTTAGGCCAATTGTAAGTAGCATACCTACCTTTTTATCATCTTTTTTATCATCTTTTTCATAGATTTTCCTGCTGGAGTCGTGTCTCTAACTCTTCACACAAACCAGTCAAGTGCAACCCTCAAACCTGTCACATACTTCACCAACATGGGGGAAGTCAGTCACTTTATTGAAAACGCAACAGATCCCGTGAACTTTATCTGCCAGGTAAGGAAGTATTTAATGTTTGGATTTTAGTTACAAATCAAAATTCTTTAATAATTTGTCACTTTTGCAACAGCAGTGTGCTTTCATAATTTTTACCAATTTCAATAAATCAATCTGGGCTAGTAATACATTATAATTGTAAAATCAACTTATTGAAAATATCTCACTTTTTTATTTCTAACCATATCATATTAGAGGAAAATGTTCTTGTTTTGTGAGGCCCACCGCGTGCTTACCAATAGTGCAATCAAAACAACTAATTCAATTTCTGTAGGAGTAATTTAATAATATCAGCTGCTTGCCGCTGTGCAAGGTATTATTGATGAAAACTAATAGTATGTTTTTAAAATGAATAATACAATTTGAATTTTCTTACAAGAGCAGTGGCTTTTCCTAATATTCTTAATGTTTGAACATGTACTTCATAAATGTAATGAGAGCTAAAGGTTGTGTTGATGGAGTGAGATAAGTGCCTTTAGATGTGACAGGAGCACACCCTTTTATATTTACAGTAGAAGTGGTGCAGTCAAAAGCTGCAAAGGAGCGGCATTTATTCAGCTTTTTTATGACCGCTTATCTTAATGATCGGTCAGCTTTGTAGTACTCAGATTTTACTGAGACTGTAAATTATACATAAAAGAGAATGCAATGGTTGGCATATGTCATTTTTATTTATTTATTTCAGGGAAAGTGCACATTCATGAACATTTCTGTAAATCTGCCAGAATAAGCTGGAAGGCTATTTTTTATCTGTGGGGCATACAACTGGTATGACCCAGCTCGGCGAGGCGTAGGGAAGTAGGAACAACCAAGATGGAAAATGGTATAAACAAAGTAATAACTGAATAAAAAGGAAAGTAAAAGGGAAATGAAATAAAAGGGAAACAAAACATTTACACAATTAACCTAACTAAGAAAACGACTGACAAATATAAGGGACACGTAACACAAAACAAACCCACAAGTGTCTCAAAATAAAGTCACAAAAACCAACAGAGTACCAACTGAAAACAAGAGACAGATCTAAACCAAACTTAAGTCAAGCGCTTACAGAGTTAAACAAAATGAGACACACAAAATGGCAAACTGACCACAAAGACCAGCTGCTCGGAACAGATGCACTCAGTCTTCTTAAACAGGAGGAGGCTGATGCCTCACCAATTAGAGACCAAGAAGAAGCAAGCGAGAGCTCCCACAGCAGATTTCCATGTTGACAAGCAAAGAAATGCAACACACTACACAAGGCAGAAAATTAGAGACCACAGGCTGTAACAACAACTATACTGGCAATTGTCAAACTATATTAAGTAAAGTTTTGACATTGATAACTAGCATTCTTTATCTTGATAATGCTGTAAAGGCTGTACTGTTTTGTTCTTGCATTTGTAGGCGTTTCACTTACAGTCCAACACAACAGAGTCCTTGGACCACATGCTGACAGAGTCTTTCAAGTCCAAGATGCCGCCCACAGGACTGCAACTGTTTGGCATCAGGCAGATAGAGGAGGACAATATGGCCTCATGTGAGTAATACACACAGTGTAAGACTAACAAAAAGGGTCAGAACAGGCTTCTCCAAACTATGACCTGGGAGGGCAACTGCGGCCCTTAGACCATTTTTTCCTGGCCCTCAGGTTTTTGAGGTTCTAAGCCTGAATAAGGGTTTGGGCTCTCATTTAAAAAATGCTGAATTCTTATAAAAAATATGCACACGCTTCCTGAAACTTCATCTCACTTCTCATCTCTCTGAGCACAGACGTCCTACAGTTTTGTAGCTAGAAGCTTTGATGTACAGAGTTTAAAGTTTTGAACCAGGCCGCACATTTCCACAACATGTTCAACTATTTATAAATCAGAAACTTAACATGTCAGGAGTCTAACATTTGTGCGTCTTAATGATTGGCCCTCTGCTTTTTCACACAAAATAAAAATCCACATAACTTTATTTTGCTTAATTGTTTCCAAAGCTGTTAATTGTAATCGCATTTATGCTCAGTGCTTATAGTTTTTGTCATCTTTTAGACCAGCGCGATGAGGAACTTCCCACGCTGCTCCACTTTGCTGCTAAGTACGGCCTGAAGAAGCTCACTACTGCCCTCCTACAGTGTCCTGGGGCATTACAGGCCTACAGTGTCATGAACAAAAACGGGGATTATCCTAACACCCTTGCCCAAAAGAGCGGTTTCATCGACCTGCGACAGTTCATGGACGAGTTTGTAGTAAGTGAGATATAGCAAATACTTTTGTTATGTTGTGACTAGGGATTGCATGCGCTGAAAGTGAAACTGCAGTGGTTTGTGGGGGTTGAAGTACTAATGACAAAAGAGAAGTATAAAAATAGCTCTGAATCCATGTGACTTGCCATATTTACTCTGCCCAATATGTAATGATCTTTATTTTCTTTTTACAAATAGACAGAAATTTGCCATTGGTTTGTCAATTTATGCACACAGTTTGACAAACAATAATAACAAAAATACTTCAAAAGGGCCATGCAGTAAAAAAATAATAATAATACTCTTAACTAATGTTGCTACTATCTTACTTATCTCATTACTTGGACCTAATAATAATAATAATAATAATAATTCAGTTTAAGTACAGTCTGCTAGCCGAAAAGGTTTCTCTCTAAATCTCAGTGGAAATCCCCTTCATGAGTCAACTTGAATTTGACCGCTGCAGGTTGTGTGACTGTCCACCTTTGTTTCATCTTTAAACTACATCTCTACCACATTGTGTTTCTTAGTTGGTTTAGGTTTAGTTGAACTGAAGTAACGTTTTCATCCTTAACATCATACAACAACTAGTTGCTTAAAAATTGTGCTTTCATTTTTATTACACTTATGCTGCCTGACTAAAGCTCCTGAAATGTTTGTTAAATCTGGTTTGTTTTTAAATGCTGTTTCCATGTTTTCTGTGACTCTGTGTTTTGTGACATTTAAGTTCAGAGTTAAAGTTCCAATATACACTACTGGTCAAAAGTTTTGAAACACCACACTTTTTCTAGTTTTTACTGTTTACTGTTGACCAAAACGATTTCTAAATTTGATTCATGAAAGTGTCCACCTTTGGCAGATATAACAGCTGAACACACTCGTGGATCGTTCTTTTTACAATAGAAATCAAATATTCTTCAGAAAGTTGCAGAAGTTCCCATAAATGTGTGGCACTTGCAGGTTTCTTGGCTTTCACTCTTCTGTCCAGTTCATCCCAAACCAGCTCGATGGGGTTTAAGTCTGGAGACTGTGCTGGACACTCCATGTTTTCAAGTTTACCATCTTGTTCTTTTTTCCTGAGGTAGTTTTGGCAGAGCCTGGCCTTGTGTTTTGTATCTTTTATCTTTTTTTTTTTTACCTCTGGCTGTACAGTTCTTACATTTGTACAATTTCTAGCTCTTCATTGGACTTGCACGACTTGAATTGCAATAAATAATTGGAAAAATTAGGGTGTTCTAAAACTTCTGACTGGTACTGTATAATATATTATCTTGTCTCCATGTAAATATTTCTTTGCCTAAAATGTTCCACGGTATGGCATTAAAGGGCTCATATTACATTATTTTCTATTTTTCTTCTCAAAAACATACCTGGAATTGTGTTTTGTTGCATTCACACATGTTTAACTCAAACCCTGCATATTTATGTTGTTTTGTGTTGGAAAACACCCTGTTCCACCTTATGATGTCATGTTGTAATACAGAGCTCCATTGTGTTTTTAAACTTCATACACCTTCACTAGAATCGTTTGGATAATTTCAACCCTGGAATTGCCAATCTCTACCCAAGTAAAGGTTAAAGGTAGCAGCTAGCTTGAAAACTACTTCTACATGACATCACAAGGTGGAACAGAACATTTTGAGCTTTGGAGATGTAGACAGACAGAATAATAAAGTTTTACTCAAACATGTGTGAATGAAAGAAAACAGAGCTACAGGTATGTTTTTGAGGAGAAACACTTTTGATAATGTAGGCTATGTTACTGATCAGACCTATGTTGAGGCAAGCCCACAAATGCTTATCTTTCTGAGTAGTTTTTGAATGTTTAATGCCTTACTGTGGAATATTGCAGGCACAGAAATCCATTGACACAAGTAGGCGTCAGACATCCCCAGCAGAAAAGATCTGTAATCATACTGCGGTCACCCTCTCCTTTGTGGTGTGTACACATTCTGTATTTAACCGGTGTTTTGTGTTGTGCCGTAGGAAACTGCTGACATGTTAAGTCTCACATAGAGACCATCGCCCCAGAGGAGGAGGGCGACGTGTACGAGAGGATGACCGCCTCCTCCCAGAACATCCTCATGAGGTTTTCAGGCCAATCTGAGGACATCTATGAGTCTATGCTGGAGATCAACCCGGAGTGTGCAGAGGACCTGTGTAAGTAACATGGATAGAAGAAGAAGAAACATTATACCACGTCAGCTGTTAAACCATCCACCCGCCCGCCGGCGGGCGATTTTCCAATAAAAAATGTTCACTCTGTATATTCACCTTCATTATTGTTTTCACTACTGGCATGCCATACATCGTTTGAAAGCTTAATTTATCAATAAAACAACCATATCATTCATTTTATGCCGTACAACGAGCCCAAAACGCTATAACTTAAAAATTCACATTATAAACAAAGAATAAGATACGCGTTTCTTACCTTTGAGCCGGTTCTGTCGGTCCAAAACGCATTCAATCCATGAAAAGTTGTACTCAATAAGTCTGTAATAATCCACAGAAAAAGAATATCAAGTTGTTTTTTCCATAAAATTATTCCATGTGGGTAAATAATCCAGAAAATCCTCGTCCGTATGAGTGGATGAATGCGTGAATGAAAATCTATGTTGCCTTTCCGAGCCTTCTCCCTCTCTGAGTTCCGTTTCTCTTGGCGCTCTTGGGTACGCTTGTTTTCCTCACACTCTTAGCTTCAAAATGAGACCCTCCCCGCTGTTGTCGGTGCCTGGGTTTAGCTGGGACAAGCCGCTGAAGAAGCTAACGCACCCACGTATTTCCTGGCTTTACGCATGCGTCATCAGTTTGTTTACGGGAAATCTCTTCAATCATTGGAAAATTAATTGGATGGTAACAGGTTAAAGCATGGTTTGATGTAGTGTCACCTCAAAACTGCTTTTTTCATACTGCATAGATCTTTATTTTTATATTTTGTTCATTGTAAACTGCAAAATTGAACCAGGTCTTTTCAAAACTGCAGAACTGATAGGCCCATTCTCTTCATAGTAAAATTTCAGCTACAGATTTTCATGTTTTTCTTGTTTTTTGTATCCTACATGTATGACCCAGAGTCTGAATTATTTTAATAAATAAATACCAAGGAGTTAGTGGAGATATGAGGTATGTGAAAACTAAAAAATGTATGAGCACTCAATCCTGCAGGACAATACAGGATTATTCAAACATACATGAATAAATTGAAATACAACTGAGGGAACAGTTAATACATCCCCTTTAATCACACATTTATAGTTTATATTGTTTGCCAACATTGTTTACTACTTCAAAACCGCAACTGCTTCTCCATGTTTTAAAAGTCCATGCATATTATTCACTGGACTCATTCTGATCTACATAATTATACAACAATAGCTTGGCTGCTAATTTTCTTTAACAAATTCTTCACTCCCCCTTGTCTACTGGCATCTAAATGAAGCATTCAAAACTACAGTCAGAGTAACACATTCAGTTGTAAACCTGAAGTAAAAGCAAAGCTGTTCAAAAGTATTTTAAAATCATGAAAGATCTATCCTTTCTTTAGGGGAAGTATTATGTAAAATTTACTTTGATTTAGCAGAGTAATCTCATGATCTGATTACTCAAAGTTTTATTTCATGTGATTGATTCATGCATGTTTGAGTAATCCTGCATCGTCTTGAAATTCCTCTATGAAGATGTTCTGGAGTTTTGAACAGGAAGTCACTGACGCTGTTTCTGTTTTTAAGTTGTTTTAGGACAGCCTTGTGATTTACAATGAATAAAATGTAAAATAATGGTCAGTGTATGTGATAGTTAAATACTAAATACCACAAAATAGTATATTTCTTCTCTCTGTGTTGTGCATAGCTAATACAGTTAATATTTTACAGATGAAGTGATGAGCGCTGTGCAGGAAAATCCAGAGGAGGCCATGCTCAGAAAGTTCTTCCAAGGTATTTACATGTGTCAGTTGCTGTTTAACCATAAAACTTCATCTTCTCATCTCACGTAACAGCAGAAAGTGAAACTAAAATTGTTTGTGGGTTTGTGCCGAAGATACTATTAAATGACAGTACATTAAAGGCCCTGTACCCAGTTTTTTTCACATGTATTTGAGCAACTTTTTTTGCTCCACTATAGATATATTGTATAAGCAGTTTGAGCATAAGCAAAGTATGTCTCATCTGCACTCATTAGAAAGCATTTAAAATTAACTAATTCAGTTTTTTTGCATTTAAAATAGGACTTTTAAGTGATATTTAATTACATTGTGAATATTGTTATGAATTATTTAAAAAAATTAAAAACAGTTTGTCTCTCTCTTTGGCTTGACTAGAAATAATCCAAAGTGTGGAATTAAACTTGTCTATCTTGTCTATGCTGGAAAAATACCTTGAAAAACATACATTCTTACTGTGAGTGAGCTCATTTCCACACAGATCTGACCTGTATTAGTCTGCTGGCAACACCTGCTTGTCTCTATGGAGATTAGTTTAAACAAAACAGACAGACACAAATATTATATGGTCCATAACCCAAAAATCTAAACAATATGTAGGGCAACAATAGTGATTTAATAACTTTGCATATAATTAATTATATATATATATATATATATATATATATATATATATATATATATATATATATATATATATATATATATATATATATATATATATATATATATATATATATATATATATATATATATATATATATATATATATATTTTTTTTTTTTTTTTTTTTTTTTTTTTTTTTTTTTTTTTTACATTTTCAGGCAAACCTGAGATGGATGACGCTCCTCAAAGTGACACCCCGGTGGCCGCCGTGGAGGAGAGAGAGAGTCGGGACCGGACAGATTTTGACCTGATTGAGGAAGAGGAGGACCCTTATAACCTGAGTGCAGAAGATATCTACGACACAGTGGACCCTGAAAACATGTACCCCCCCATCCTCAACCGGCCCCCTGCCCCTGTGCCCCGCCCCCTACCAGAGCCAGAGCGCGACCAAGACAAACCCGTGGCCTACATCAGCAGAGGTACAAAAGTCCAGAGAGCTTGTTGCAGATGGTGTAAAATCTAGACTTGAAATGGGAAGCTAAACCAGATTATAATTGCAATGTTTCCCATGAATTTATACGGAGGCTGTGGGGGCATAAGCAATCCGTATTTTAATCATTTCATTCAGTACAATTTAGATGTCACTTATTGGCTCTACTTATCAAAAGGCACTGGTAAAAGATATAGTTTCTTCTATATGGTTAAGGCAGTAAAGCATACATTTTGTTTTCAGCTTGTTCTTAGACTATAGGGTTAAAAATTAGACTATGGAGGCACAACAGTCACATTTATTATGGGAAACACTGTCATTGTTCATATGCAGAATACTGTACAATAAATCTGACTTCTTGCTTAATGGTTTTTTGTTTTTTTTTTCCTATACAGTGTTTTCAGATAAAAATCTGACCCAGGTGAAACAGGAATTTCAAGAGAAGATGTATGCAACAGGTAAAACTGTCTTTTCTGCATAATGCAAACATTATTAACTTGTGTAGTAACTGAATTATCAAAATAAAATCTATTATAAATTCTCGGGCCTGGCATTTCAGCCGTCACTCATGTGGTCGGACCAATCAGCTGATACATTGTGATGAGTATTTTATGTGTTTAAACTGTGAGGTCGTCAGTGTAGTCAGCAAAAGCTCTGAATAATCTCAATAGTGCAGCTGGCCCAGGTCCCAAGGCCACGGTCCAGAGTTCGTGTCAAATTCTACTTTGATGAGTCATATAAGTTTCTTTGTAGGTTTAGTTTTAGATTAGATTTACAAGTTAACTTTTTAGGTATCACTGAATACCAAAACTCAAAAACAGCTCCTCTGTATTGTTTTTTAACTGTAGACACATACACCCCAATATATACATAACGGCACAACCTTTACTGACAACATACTTAAATATTCTACTGCTGTGTCCTGTATTCAAATGACTGTGGTTAAACAGAAACCACTTCAGACAGCTTAGGTAAGACCCACAGCACAGACACCTCCTCTGTCCCCCTCTAAAAAAAAACAATGTGTCAGCAGTGTTACCAATAATTTTAACTCAAGCACTTTACAGGAAAGTCCCTTCTCAACTCTTGGTGATGGTTAAAACGACCATGGCATTTTATTCCAATAAAAATGATGTATTTAATAGATTTAACCTTTCTTGGGCACTCAAGAAATGTTTTAATAATTTTACTCTTTCACTCTATACTTGGTCCAAATCCAAATCCACTTTATTTATATAGCACATTTTACCAACAAAGCAGTTTCCAAAGTGGTGCACAGAGACCATAAAAAGAAAACAACAAAAGATAAAATTGCTAAAGAGCTGATAGATTTGCAGCCTTGCATTCATCCGTGTTCCCCAGGGCAGTCATTTAATACCACAGAGGCGAATCAAATCTTAAATCAAACTTAACAGTGCGTTATTTAATGTTGGTGTTTTGTCTGCTCAGCTCGCCCCCCATCTATGATCCAAGCCCCTGTGTACGACCCCTACGCTGGGATGAAGACCCCAGGCCAGAGGCAGCTCATCTCCCTGCAGGAGCGCGTCAAAGTGGGGGAGATCTCAGTGGAGGAGGCTGTACAGGAGTTTAAGGCCTGGCAGTTTGACCACGAACGAAGGGCCCACTCAATACGGTACCAACAGGTAAGACAGGGAACATGTATTTATTTCATTTATGTCTTTAAATGTTATACAGACTTAAAGGTGCTGCTCTTGGTTTTTCTTTCTTTGTTTTGTCTTAATAATGTGAAAAATAGTAGCTCATTTTAAACAGTTTGCAGTGGTCCAAAGTTATTCACTTACCTTAAGCATTCTAAACATCCACAATGATAAATGTAGGCTAGTTTAGTTTGGTTATTGATTCATTTTATTTGATACATTTATGCAAATTAGAACAGTAACAGAACAATCATTTAATATTAGTGTAATAAGTTACTAGACTGAAACTAACCTGGGTGGAAAGAATTTAGGGAATTTTAGGCTAGTAAAATCAGGTAGTAGTATCACCATGTCAATTTTTTATGTTTTCCTTTTTGGCATGAGACATGAAATGCGTCACTGATTATTATAAAATGTTCATTGTTTCAGGAAAATCTAAAGAAGTTACGAGACAGCATCACGACGCCACAAGGAGAAAGAGAAAATAGGACAAACTGGTAATGATCTTTTGCATAATATTCTAATACTTTTACGACAATACTGGGATAAAACTGTATGTATGATGTTATTGCTTTGCCTGAAATGTCCCACAGTATGACATTAAACTTATCTAGCTCCATGACGCCACAAGTTACAGGTCAGGTCTGTGAAGAGGCGACCCCACTCATGAGCAGAATGCATGTTTACAAGGTATTTTTAAGCAATAAAAATGGCTGTAATTGATGAATTGAACAATAGATTAGATTAATGCCATATTCTGGAACATTCCAGGCAAAGCAATGACAGAGACAGGCAGGTGATGGACCTTACGTAGTGAATCTTTAAATATATTGGCCAAGTACATTTCCAAACCTGTGAAGTATTTTGAACAGTGACAACAGTATTCATAGTAGACTACATAGCAAAGGAGAAAAGAAATTTGTCAACTGGACCCAAAGGACAAAACAGCGAGTCACAAACAAAGCACTCCATTCAGTGTAGTGAAGATTGCAGTGAACGCTACCCTGGAGAAAAGAAACAGTCACTTCACAAGAGGATGCACCAACACAAACAATAGAGCAATAGTGGACCTCAATCTTCTGTGCATCTCCACCTAAAAGCCACGGGCCACTCCTTTGAGAATAGTGAGGGACAAATCTTAGCCAGAGAATAGAACTGGTTTGAGAGCTACAGGGGCTGTTTTTGTTAGGAAAGACAACCCTTCCTTGAACAGAAATGGAGGCCTCAGACAACAAAGAGAAGGAAAGGGTTAGCCAGGTCAGGGCCAGAGGTGTGAAAACACTCATTATGGGCCTGTATGATTATGCTAATATGACCCCTCACTCAGATACAGATGAATAGGCCTAGCTAACAAATAGAAACTGTAAACAAGGAGGGTGTCAGTTTCAGAGTAGTTTCAGTGTAGTTAGCTTCTTCCTGCATGCAGATATAACAAAGTGTCAACCAGCCTCTGACCAGAATTGAAGAAGCATCTTAGATGAGGTGCGAAACATTTTCCACCTAAATTAACGTTTGTCTAGTTGACAAATTTCTCCTTTTTCTCCTTTGTTGTGAATTCTACCTGCACGACTGAGGGATTTTACACAGAGTAGATTACATACATAATTCATAAAGGTCCTATAGTACACAAAAATGACTCTTATGAGTTATTTTAATATGTTGTTACCTCATCAAAAACATACCCGGGGTTGTGTTTTGTTTCATTCACACAATGTTTGAGTAATTCTGGATTATTAGTCTATCTACATTTCTTGCTCTGTTCCACTTTGTGATGTCATTAAGTGGTAGCTATGTTTTAGAGATTTGCAATTCTGAGGCAGAAATTATCCAAATGATTCTAGTGAAGGTGTATGGAGTTTAACAATACAGTGGAGCACTTCCTGTATTACCACATGACATCACAAGTGGGAACAGAGTGTTTTCTGTTTGAGAGAAGAACTGTGTGAATGAAACTAACACAATTCCAGTTATGTTTCTGATCATGAAAGAACATTGTAACATATGGGAAAATAGCGTAATACGGGCCCTTTAATAATACCATATTCTCTTTCAGATTATGAGATCTCGGCTCCTCTGCAGACTAACTTGTACTGGAGCTCTGGCGCGTCTTTGGAGTGTGCTGTGTACGAGCCCACGCCCAGACTCTGCAACCTACCTCCCTCTGGGCCTCTCCCCTTGCCGCCCTCTGCTGCCGGGGTGGGGAACGTCATCAAGAGGGGCAGCTGGAAGACCGGCAGCACCTCCAGTAACTCCAGTGAGTCTGAATATCACTTATAATTTATACTATAATAAATATGCCTCTGCTGAAATCTGTAGTCATGTAAGTAATTTTTTTCCAACTAAACAGTGATTCTTGGATATTTTTGGTACAAAAATAAATATTTCTTGGTAAGAGGTTTCAATTTGAGAAGATACATCGTGCTTCTGAGTACTATAAATAATGACTGGAATGTGTAACCCTTGAAAAGTGCTGTATAAATGTATTATTAGGATTATTAAGTATCTAAATCCACATAAGGGCATCTTATACAGAAATACCAGCTATTTTGATATGACCAATTGTGATAAATACATTCACACTCTGAATATACATTACAGTAACAAAATGGGTTCTTGAGAGCCTTTAAGCCATGTTATAATGCTGTTATCTTCTCAAAAAAATACTTGGAGTTGTGTTTTGTTTCATTCACATTTGTTTGAGTAACCCTGTCTACATCTCCAAAGCTCAAAATAGTCAATAACACTTTATGGCGTCATGTTGTGGTAGTTGTTAAGTTTAACACCTACCTTTTTTATTTTTGTTCATTAGAGATTGGCAAATGATTCTAGTGTAGGTGCATAGAGTTTAAAAACAGTGGAGCACTTCCTGTATTACTACATGACATTACAAAGTGGAACAGTGTATTTTCCATTTTAGAGAAGAACTCAGCCTAAATTTGCAGGCTTTGTGTGTTAAACATGTCACAATGAAACAAAACTCCAGGGATGTTTTTTAACGAGGAAACAACATTATAGCATACAGTATATCAGAAAAAAAGCTTAATATGGGACCTTTAAATACATTTGTAGCTTATGAGAAACTATATTGTGTAAGTTCCCAGAGATACAGAACAAAGATCTACTTTCAGAAAGCTAAATTTTGCGTGAGCAGTACTGTTGTTTTTTTTTATTTTACTCTTCATGTGACCATACCTCTTTCAGTTGTCTTGTTTTAAATCTCTTGACCACATTCGCTCACAGTCTAGACCATATTTCACCACAGACTCACACACTGTTTTCTTTTAGATTTTAGTCTGTACATTTTGACCTGTTTGTTTTTGCTCCTCAGGTACAGAGAGTAACCGTCTGAGTACACACAGCACCATGAGCTACAGCAGCGGCACAGAGCCTGAAATAGAGGTGGGAGTTTAAAGAGTAACTAAAACAGATAATGAACCATTTTGGGGCAAATCAACTTTCTTCTAAGGACAGGGTATTAGGGTAAACATTAAAAACACAGACATTTGGACTAATTTAAAAGGCTGACTAGGGAACTAATTGATAGATTGTAAGATTGTTTGGTTAATTGATAATTGTGATTTTTTTAAAAGTTCCAGTATACTAGTAATATTAAGAACTAAAAAAAATGATTGTAACAATTTTACCTACAAAAAAAAAGAATTTCAGTTCAGTCTACTCTATAAAAGAATGAGAACTTCGCACATCAATTACTTGAGACGGGTGCGCTGGAGGAGAGGGAGCAGCCCAAGAACATCGAGAAATCCCACACACCGTCTTACTTGAAAATTGTGAGATTTATTAGAACAAACTGTGCAACGTTTCGGCACTAGACCTTCATCAGGCAAAACCTGTTTGCCTGACGATTTTTCTCTTAGTTCGATCTACTCTTCCAAAAAAAAATTAAATGTATAGAGCTTTTGTATCTGGTTGTCACATTACCATTATAAACGTTTAATGTAGTGTAATATGGGCCCTTTAAATACTCAAAAAATCATCATAATCCCGACTGTAAAGTGATGATATTGTGAAATGTGAGCATAAACTGTGTAGTATCTTCTTAATATAGCAAACCACTTGGGCGTAGGTCACTATGGTGCTTTAGAAATTAGTTTGAATCAAAACAGGAACCAAAAATGAGTCGAATATCCTGAACTGAAACACTGACATACTAACTCACCAGTCATTTGCAAATCTAGTATAATTTTAATTTGTTATAATCTGAAACAACATACACATACATAACTTTTTAATTAAATAATGAAATGTATTCCTTATTTCCAATTATTATTTCACTTACACCAATGCTAAAATATAGAAGGTCTGGTCTCAAACAGGATTTGTTGCTATAAAACATAGTGGATATTTTTGTTTTCTGTTATTGCTGGTTTCTTTTGATGCTCTAACTTCCGTTTGCCTGTTTTCGTTACAAAAATAGTTTCCACTGGCATTTTCAGCTTCCTGTTGGTTATAGCGCATTTGAACTCTTCTAAGAAGTTACTGAAACTATTGCACAATCCAGTGACCACTTTAATGTCATCACGCACATTACTGTTGATTTACATTTCATTAAAAAATAATCAACATATATGTTATCTGTTTTTTTCAGGATCCGTTAGAAAGTCTTCCTCTTCCACCTCGACCTGCACGTCTGTCTGAACCCAATATTATGACCCCTCCTCCAAGAATCCCTCCACGAATCCCAGAGAGGTCAGTCTTTAAGATTAAATCACAACATTACAATTTAATTTTTCAATATGTTTCCCCTGTTTACATTATTTGAATTGGTTCTTTCATATTTTATGTCATTATACAAAATGTTTTTGTATGGAAAATGTACAACCAGTGTGGTGAGTAGTGTACAGAATTCAAACTACTTAAAAACAACCAAGCAATATCAATTTATTTCTCCCCAAGGGGCTCTTTAAGCACAAACAACAGTAAAATACAATAATAATAGAACAAACAGAAGACAGAAGTATCAGCTCAGAGCAGTTTGAGGGGAGTAACAATCCTCAGAACAAAAAGTCCTCTGTGTCCTTTGTGTCCTGCAGCCCGGGAACCACAGTTAGCCATCAGGGGGAGTCAGGTGAACTCTGGAGACACAACAAGACAGCCTCTTCTTAGCCTTAAAACCCTCACGCATGGATCTATTAAAATAACTGGAGAGGGTATTACTGCTTGTAGCTGCCTCCAGCTGACGTAGTGGCTACTCACTGGTATTACAGTGAAAGAATCCTCTGGGCTGAGACAGGATTCTTGTCACAAACTGCTCGTGTTTGGCTGAAAGGGCACTTACAACTTTCCAAAATGTTTGATTTTGTGGTGATTTTTATCTATTTTTAGATCATAAACTTTTTCTCACCTCAAAATCCTTCAGTTGTCTTAAAAAAATGCTTTATAATTGTTCGCTCCGGCTCCACTCTGCTCCACTCTAGCTCAGAGCCAGAGCCACCGGAAGTACCTCACTGGGCTAAAGGCAAATCTGGAGTCATGCACCACTTAGCTCGGCCCATTGACTTGAATGGGCAGCCATTTTGAAACCCCAAGGCTCACGTCTCTCTGTTGTTTCCATTGATGATGAGACCAGTGCAACTCAAAGCAGGAAAAACAAATTGTTCAAATCACACAATCCAACAGGCCTTAATCTCTTGAACTACACGTACTGCACTTGTGTTGAGTTTGCACTGCATCGTCAAACAAATTTCTAGTTGGATGCCTTTGCATTTGTGGGCATATACTTGAAATCTATCAAACCACAGAGCTAATTTTTTAAAACTCTGGTATCCGACATTAACGCTCAAGATGCACTGCATAAATTTACAAAACTGCCACTGTCACCCACAAGAGCAGCCAACCACAACAAAACTGAAGTAACACTTTGAATAAAAACTCTTCCTGTAAGAGCAACAAAGACTTCTTACTGAAAATGGTAGCGGTCATTTACATTCTTGTAAATTATTAATATTACCAGAAAAGAACATAGAGCGTGAAAAATGTCTGTCCAATTTTTAGATGATTTAACCACGGCCTCTAATTTGTAGCACGTGTCTTTCAAATGTATAAGACATCTCCTCTCAGATACTCTCATAACATTCAGAACACAATATAGAACTTCTTTTACCTGAAATAAATAATAGTTTGGTGTTTCGATTGTTGATTGTGTAAAAATCCACACAGTTTCTCAGTCCTTTATGTAGATTTTTCTCCTTTTTTTAAGTGTAAGGTGTCATGTATGTTTGTTAATTGAACGGAGACAAGCAAGTGACAGACCCTTCACCAGAAAAGTTGCACCTTTAAAAAGACGCTTATTATTAAAATGTATTCTTATTTTTATCGTCTTTGTGTTTCAGAGTTCCAGAGAAGATGCTTAATGAACGGTACATTTCGTGTCCGACCCGAGCGCTCCCTCAGGTCCCTCAGCGTCAGCCCGAGGTGGCCCCCCCAGTGCCCCGACGACAACGATGATCTCACACCAGCACCCCACACACACCTAGGCCCGTGACAGTAACACAATTTGAAGTGCAAATATAGTAAAAGTGAAAATATAGACGATAACCGAAAATGAAACAAATTTTGCATAATGAAACACTTTAGTAGTTTGTTTGTACCTGCAATGAAGAGGAATTGACAAAAAAGTTTCTCATTTACATAGAACAATATTTTTTGGGGATCAAAACTTTTATATACTGAACGATAAGTGAATATAATTATTGTGACAGGCCTGCCAGCATCCTACAGACACAGAAAAAGACTGTTTATAAAGAGAAGAGACTGTGAATAAGAATGACAACCAAAGAAAAACCTTTTTTTATCTTGTATTATGTTTTTGCTCTGTTACAAGGATGCAGGCAATGTACAATATATTAAGATGTGTATGTAATGTTTTAAGATTTTAGGTTAAGTTAAATTCATTCAATGTTCAATGATAAAAAATAAATAGTTTTTTCTTAACATTGTTTTGATATGCACAGTGCAGAGTGCTTTGTGTGTTACTGTGGGATCTTTCTGATGTCATCTTACTGTTCAAAGACATGTATCAGGGTTCCCACGGTCATGGAAATCCTGGAAAAGTCATGGAAATTGAAAATGTCATTTTTCAAGGCCTGGAAAAGTCATGGAATTTGAGTATCTCTTTCATGCAACTACATCGTTCTGTATGATTATTTCCGAACATCTGCGCCTTTTGTTTAAAAGAGACGACAATAAATGCACTGACAGTATTTTGAATGTTAAAAAACTATAATACCAAACCATAAGGTGAATGGAAATGGTTAACATTTCATATTTAGCCCTAAAAGTCTGATCAATTCTACACATGTAGGGTGCAGTAAAGTCATGGAAAATTCACTTTAGGTCATTAAAAAGTCATGGAAAAGTTTAGAAATTTTGTCAGTGAAAAAGGGTGGGAACCCTGATGTATGTTTTTAATGAATGTTCTGTTGTGAATTAATGTGCGGTTGAGGTTGAATATAATCTGTTTACTTTTCTTCTGCAAGTGCTGTTGTCTCTAGTCACGTTCACTTAGTTGCAATACACATTCTGACCACATGATGGTGCTATTTACTTTACCATATTAATGGTCCTTTACAGCAATAACGTACTATGTTTATAGAAATACAAGTCTGAGCCAATATAAATAAGTGTCTTCACAGTCTGGACTTGTCTTCGCAGAATTGTATATAATCACTTACTGGAAGAATACGCGTTTTGTGAGCACGTGAGAATATAGCGTTGGCTGCCAATTAAACATTTCAAAATAAAGTTCAAACATTTAGCTCATACCAATACTCATATGTTTGGAGCCTGTTTGGTTTAAAAATCAAATCTAAGGTACATTGGAAATTACTATAGTGCCTTGCAGGATATAGCAAATTTTAGGGCTACTCATGAGTATCAGAGTGATGGAAATCTAGCACCAGGTCCAGTTGCCATATCAGAACAAAATATGTTACACCTAGAATGAGCAAAAGTCTTCAAAATGTCGCCTATAAACAGGAAGATGAAACCCATGAATACAAAATTGATGCTCGCTTTACAGCTTTGCACTTGCTACTTATTCCACTCTTACTCCCATCTCTAGAAAACCCCAGAACCTGTCCCTGTGTGCTTTTATTGTGAAGGGCCGGTAGTCCGTCCCGTTTGCAGGAGCAGCTGCTGGAGGCTCGCGTGTTTGACGCAGCTGATCGGGAGCGTGGTGCGTGCGTCCGTGCGTGCAATAGTGCTGACAGACCGCACGCAGCTCTCTGGAGTGTGTCTGCAGCCTCGAGCGCTTCACGTACAACACTGGACACGGGAAACCTGGATTACCACCGCGGCGAGGTAAGCCCCCCATTCACTTCTTATTACTTTCAATTAACGTCTTCCAGCAAGTTCCGTGCGTAAAAGCTGAACCGATTATGTTTTTTGGGATGGAGGACTAGAGCATGGATGTGACTGGTATCCAGAGATGTTGCTTGTTCTGTTCTCACTCTTCTGGCGTTGGGACAGTTACTGCAGTGGATCCATACACGGGGAAACGCGAGCCTCTCTCGGTGCAATGCCCTGTAACTAAATCCCCAAGAGAAAACCAAATATTCACACCAGCTTTTAAGGAATTAGACTAACCACTTTAGGCAATAAAAATAAGTTTTCACAGACGATAAATGAGTTAAAGTTGGTAGCTGCAGTGCCTATTGTATTCTTGAGAATTATTGACATGGCAACTGTACTTGGTGTGCCTGTGACTCCGGGAACAATGCACTTAAATGGAGAGATGCATATGAGGCAAACAGGTGCGGACATTACTGTGCACACTGGCGCACATTGTTGTCATACCAGTTCTCTTTGATGCTGGGGGACAAACAGTCTGTGGTCACATGTCCTTATTAGTTGATATGGGTTGAACACCAAATGTGAATGGGATGAGCAGAGGTGGTAAAATGTACTCAAGTAAGTATCCCATTTCAAAGTATTCAAGTAGAAGTACAAAGAGCTCAAAGAAATTACTCAAATAAGTGATAATAACCATTTGCCCAAACTGTCTGAAAACTGCTGCTATAAGGAGTTTTAATAAAGAGGTAATAAAGTAAACTTAAGTAACTGTATACTACAAATTGAATTGTCTTTTTTGGATGAATAAAGTTATCTCATGTTTTATGTAGATTTATGAATGATACAACCTTTTGGAGTGATTGGATGTCAGTTCTGGTTGGTAGTGTGTGTGTACTGTCCCATGTGCTGGACTTAAACTGTGGTTTTGTATGTAAAAGCTGTATTTAATATTTAGACAAGATTGTTATACAGATATATGCATTTATTCTACTTGATTTGAGAGTCTTGCCTTTGATGTGTTGATCCTGTAATCAATGGGAAGTTGTGTCCTTCGTGAAGATGGATTGTGTTTAATTTAGACATTAGAAATGATCTCAATTGATCTGTTTGCTGCCAAAAATGGCAATGACCAGTGGCTTATGAAATGCAGAAAGGTGAAGAACACTATATATTTGGCATTTCAGCAACTATGGAAGGGTACAGCTTTGATAAAGAACAGCTGATGACTTACCTTTTGGTACACAGTGACCAAAAAACATTTTGACCTCATAATTTGTACAAATAGTTTTTCATTTATCTACTTTCTTCACTTGTTACAATTGGGAGTTGTCAGTGACTACCATACTTGGGTCTTAGGCAATTTATAGCCTGAACAATAAATAATAATAAAAAAAAATGTCAATCTCCTGTTTCATTCACTGGCCAATTTATGCCATGTTTATTATAACAAAGGATTTACATTTTTTACATTTCCAATCTGAGAAATTAAAATACAACACGAAATTAAGATAAGTAAAAGTTGTTGTCAGATTTTAAATAACAATATGATACTAAGCTATTTATTTCATTTATAGATGGACTATTTTGACAATTCACAGGATTATTTTACCTTTTACATTCAAAAAGTTGTTGTTATAGCTATTTTCTGATCTCTGTTATAATGTTTTCCTCATCAAAAACACCTCGAGTTGCATCATTTACATACTATATGTTTAACACACAGCATATTTAGGCTTAGGAGTTCAGTCAAACAGAAAACGCTCTGTTCCACCTTGTGATGTCATGTGGTAATACAGGTTTTTAAATTCCATACATCTTCATTAGAATCATTAGGATCCTTTCATCCCTGGAGTTTCCCATCTCTGCTGAACAAAAGGTAAAAGGCAGCTGGCAACTTGAAACCTCTACATGACATCACAAGGTGGAACAGAGCATTTTGAGCTTTGGAGATGTAGACGGACTAATAATAAAGGGTTACTCAAAGGTGTGAATGAAACAAAACACAACTCCAGGTATGCTTTTTGAGGAGGTAATAGCATTATAACACGGATCAAAGCTCACAAGAGTCAATTTTCTGCAATATGGGACCTTTAACTCAACTGTGTCCCTGTGTAGCCTCTGTATTTCTTATTCTAGTGACATCCACATAGCAGCGCTGTTATGTAATCGTGCAGTAGTGATATTGACACAGCGCTTGTTCATGTTAAACTTTGTGCTCTCGTCTGACAAACCAAACAAGTCACTCTAAGTCTCACAATGAGCTACATGTGACCTATCAGCCACCACTGCAAATAGACACAAGCACTTTCAAGTATATTTGTTGTTGTCAAAGGAATTAAGCTTAAAGAGATTTTTATGTTGTTTTCGTTCGCACTTGTCCAGGATTGGCTGTAGTTTAGTCTTGATGTACACCTTTTTGTTTAATCCTGTTTTTTATCCCAGCTTAGCCCTGGTCTAGTTTTGGTTTACTCACAGTTTTGACATAGTACACTGTGTACAAGTGTAAAACGCATAGCTGTCAGTCAGACTGCGTCCATATTTTTCAAGTAGATCAATTCTAATATAACTGTATATGATGGAATTTACCATTATCCAAATTGAAATTCCACAAACCAGCCTTTTATTCATTTGGTATGGGAAAAATGTCATTCTACTGACAACATTCTTTGCTTTGTGATTGAGTAATGCCACCACATCTTTAACCCATAACAGAATGGAAAATATTGCTCTTACGTCATTCCTTCTGAGTTAAAGGTGCATTATGTAACTTTTCCAATGATAAGTCCGCCGCCATGGAGATGTTATTGCTTTGATACAGTGCAGTATTAAACAAATTTATGGATGTTTTATTCTTTATAGACTAACTTCTAGCTCTGAGGTCTGAGGGCCAGCTCCAGTGCTTGGTGCCTAAGACGAGACTTAAAACCAGAGGGGACAGGGCCTTGGAACATTCTGCCCCTCCATGTTCGAACAGCCCCTACAGTGGAGAGTTTTAAGTCTCATCTTAAGACCCACTTTTATTCTCTGGCTTTTAACACCGCGTGAGTTGTGTGGTCCTCTGTGTTTTTTTATTATTATTTTTTTTTATGTATTTTTATTTATTTATTGCTATTCTATGATTTTGCTCATATTTTATTTTACTAGTTTTATTATTTTAAGACTAGTATGATTATTTTAGTAGTTTATTTTATCATTTTATTATTGTTATTATTATTATGTATTTGTGCAGCACTTTGGAAACTGTTTGTGAAATGTGCTATAGAAATAAAGTGGATTGGATTTTTCCATGGAGACGGATAAGTTTAATGTCATGCTGTGGAAACTTCTAGGCAAATCAGTAACATTTCCATCCAATCCAATCCACTTTATTTTCCATGGAGATACAAGACATGGGAGACCTTCTATCATAAAAGTTACATATTATACACGGGGCGGCAGTAGCTTAGTTTGCAAGAGTGTTCATTTGAATATCACTGTTGACATAAACATCATTGGTTGAGCGGTCAGATATACTGGATTTCAGCTCCCACAGATGAATGCTGTTGTTGTATCCTTGGGCAAGACACTTAACCCACCTCACCTCCAGTGTCTGCGTACACTGGTGTGTGAATGGGTGACTGTTTTCTTGTTGTAAAGTGCTTTGAGTGCCTTGAAGGTGGAAAAGAGCTATATAAAAATCTGACTATTTACCATTTACATTTTGTCCCAAGGCCTGGTAATAACAGAGATATTTATCAGCAGTCACTTAAAAGGCAAACCCTGACTGGTCCTCCCCCTCTGGTTTAATGATAATGTCACATGGACCTAACCTATCAGCTGTCAGCGTTTGTGAGTTCATTCATAATTTTACTGCTCTAAGGGAATGCCGTAACGTGACGCTAAAAACAAGCTTGATAAAATATTAATCTAAACATGAATAATTTATCCAGTGTCACAAAGCCAAACCAGTGAGACTGATTTTCCTCGGCTGGGCCTGTTGAAATGTGGCACTTTTACAGGCTGCTGCTGCTGTCGGAGATATGTTATCAGCACACCATTTACTTTGTGCGTGTTTTACTGACTCTACAGCAAGAAGAATGGAAAATGTCCCCCCTTGGGCACAAATTATCAAAGTTTTCACACCAAGGAGCGCCTCTGAAAATGTGCACAATGAATAACTCTTTAAAGACCTTCAATTTGGACTAACGACATTTAAATACTGGCTCTAGGGTCAACAGAAAAAATGCATGACTAAACAAGGACAGAGCAAGCCATAAACCAGGCTAAGTGGACAATATGTCACGGCCAATCCAAATAATGTCACGGCCAATCTAAAGCAGGACTCAACCAGGTTTAACACAGGGTTTCATTTGATAAACACAGAATATTGAACCCATAGGACCATACCTGTTAGTCAGTGCTCAATCTTGTCTGATCTGAAGCTTAGCGGGTCAGGGCCTGTTTATTACTCGAATGGGAGAGAGATTTTTTTTGGGTCGCCTTGTCATGATCAGCATGTAAATCGGCAATATACAGTTCTGACACATGAGAGAGAGAGAAAATGTAGACATGTTTCACTATAGGACCACCAACAACGACAGGGCAAAGAAGTTTATTGATAATGTACGAAGCGGGGCGGAGATGGCTGCGTTGAGACTCTAGGTGGGGGCTCCGTCTCAATCGTCAATTGGCCCGGCCGGAACGGGACCCCCCTCGTAGGCATCTTATGACTGAAAGACGAACAAGGTAGGGGGTGGGCGGGTGGGGTCGAATTAGCCGAGACAAACTGGGATGATGGAAAAGGCTGCTACAAATAGGCTTCTGGGAAATTAGAGGTGTGGTCGAGGTGAGTTGTGGTTCGCTGGTCAGAGGAGAGGGCGGCTGAGGCGTGGTCCTGCTCCTGAATCTCATATTAACTACATTTTGTATAATTTCTAATCTTTTTGTAATTATTTTATTGACTGTTTTGTTCCAGTATTGCTGGTTCAATTGAATGTTGAAAAGAAAAAGAAATGGGCTACATTTAATGT